TCCATCTGCTTGGTAGATGTAGATCTCTCATTTCCTTGTGCTTATTCTGAGTTTAAGAATGAGGCTGGTTATAAGGATTATATCTGCAGCAGTGTTACTTGAGGTGGGAGAGTTGTCCTATACCTGCTTTCTATGTTGTTTTTTTCTTAATGTGCATCTTCAGTTTTCCTTCCATTAAGTAGAAGTACATTAAATGTTTTTCTGACTTCTAGCTCAAAAGTACACTGGGCAAAAAAACTGTGTTGGTTGAATGCAGAGGAAGTAAAAATGAAAAACAAATTCTGGCAGGAAAAATTCATATAAAACATGTGTACAGTATATTTTTTAACTGATGTTTGCAAGCTTCTATGCAAACGATTCTGCCTCTGGAAATGTTTTCAGAGCGGTTGTATTTTACCTGAACATTTACAGAATTTGTGTACTAGAAATAATATTTACAATCTGTTATTTGGTATTCATATTTTGTTATTGCACTGTTTAAAATGTTTGTGATTGCTGAAGTAATCAAAAGAATTTCTTCTAGCATGGGTGACCAGGCCCACAAGAGTGGATGCTGACTATACTCTAGCACTTAAACTACCTGTGAACTTGGAATTATTTGTGTAAATGAAGTCTGTGCAACATATGGTCTGATACATGCTCTCACAAAGTGGTTGGTCAGGCTCACTGCTCTGCAGTTTTGCTGCAGACTGATCGGCAGAGGGACTGATAGGCACTACATACCAATGGGGTAGATGGCAGTAGCAGTTCGCTGGGAAAGTGGGGAAAAGCAGGCTTAGACAGTAAGGCAACAGAAAACTGAAAAGAACTATGTTCTGTGGCTCTGATTTGTAAAGGGGATGTGTGTTCTAGAAGACTGAGGGGATTGGCATGAGACAGGGGAGTGAAGTGTTTATCAAAATTGAAAGGGAAAAGTGTATGAAAATAAGGAAAGCCCTGATCTACAGAAGCTGGTGGCATAGAAGTCAGATCAGTAGTACATGCTATGGTATGGTTTGATGGCCCTTATATATTCATTTGAATAGTAAGCCCATTTTTTAAGTTAGCCTATTCACACTTTTTTCCAGTATAGGAACGATGAGAAGGAATTACCTTAACTTACAGGAAATTTTAGATCTGACAGAGAAAAATCTTTTTGAGTATGAGAAAAGCAAACTACCCAGCTGGTGTTGGAATATTGCTTGGTGGAGATTACTTTTAAAAAACGATTACACAAAATACCCCTATTCCTGGCAAGATGCAGGGAAGGTTGCATTAAATAGTCTCTGCAGGCCCTTTCAAGTTCTGAATTTCCAGTTTCTAGCAAATACCCTGGCTAGCTACTTGTGTTTGTGCAATAGCCAACTCCATCTGTGAATAACTTGCAAAAAGTGAAAATGCTGAGAGCCCAATGAGCCAGCAGCACTAATAACAGGTGCCTCAGAAAAAAGGTGTGTAGGGCAAATGTAATCTTCCTCCTTCTGAATTCAAAAACTCTGCAGCCTTTTCAGCAGGGCAGCCTTGACCTGTACCACTCACTCAACACAGGAGTTCCATAGCTCAAGATTTCTTTTCTCTGTATTCTTTTTCTTTTTTAATTTGCTAATAAGCTTATTCATTGTATTCTTCATCTTTTTACTATGAACAAAACCAGTGGACAATTATTCTTTTATGCTGTTCATGATGTTCTAGAGCTCTAGCATAACCGCTTTGTTCCCCAAAGTAAGTGTTGCTTATACTACGTTGTTTTAAAGTTTAACACCTTAAAAATGTGAAAGTACATCTGCTTTTAATAACTGGAGGCAGCAAATTGGAAGCTTACTGTATGTTCTGGGGTGGTAATTGCAATTTTGAGTTTCTATAAAACATTATAGGGACTGTAGTGACAGGACAAGGGGTAACAGGTTAAAACTGGAACAGGAGAAGATTAGGTTAGACATAAGGAAGAAGTTCTTTACTGCGAGGGTGGTGAGGCACTGGAATGGGTTGCCCAAGGAACTTGTGAATGCTTTGTCCCTGGTGGTATTCAAGGCCAGGTTGGACAGAGCCTTGGGTGACATGGTTTAGTGGGAGGTGTTCCTGCCAATGGCAGGGGGGTCGGAACTAGATGATCTCAAGGTGCTTTCCAACCCTAACTATTCTATGATTCTAAAATCCCATTGGCCTTATGCAGAGTAAGTGACAGGAACAGATAGTGGTGTTCAGAAAAACACAAGCTAGGAAAAACTCAGAAAGAATAATGAGCAAGAGCAGGCATAGAGCCAACTACAGCAAAGTTCCGTCCAGGCTTAGAGACCAGGAACTGTACCTCCATGGAGCTCACAGGCATAAGGGTAAAGCATGTGTGTGGAAGGCCCAGGTGTGAGGCTTTTCAGGGCAGATGGAGCTTATTGGTGCAGGGCACTCAGGTCCCAGAAAACTTTTAAGACATCCCTTGACACTTGGTTTTCATTCTTTGTGTGCAAGGGCTGCAGTCTATGTTCTCAGTGTGATGAGACAGACCTTGGTGGAGCTGGGAAGTCTAAGAGCTATTTTTCACCAAGGAGTAACAGAAAGCAGCTCTATTCATGAGCTCTCTGCTGTGTAACCAGTTGCTCAGAACAGGATAGATCTCTACTGAAAACCCAGCTGCTGAGGTGTGAATTGCATGGGACTGAGAAACATCTCAGAGAAGGAGCAACGAGACAACCGGCAGCATGTTTTACAGGATAATCTACACATTTCTTACCTTTTGCAGATGATGAGGATGACTGTCTCTAAACTTTTTCTATAACAGCAACTAAAATGTGATATTCTTCTCCACCTGAGCTCCTTACATCTTCCCACTGCTACAAATACTTTTTAAAGGCTTTTGCAACAGGAGAGCTGACCTAAAGCTTTCAGCAGGTTTAATAGATTTTGTTTAAAGTTCATAATGAGACTGATACCATTCTGTTAAATAAGTTATAGTGATGATATTCCAATACAATCACACAATCACTTCTGCATCGCAACAGTGGTGTGACAACAGGGCTACAACTTACACCGAGGGAGACACAACTCACAGTTGGGTAAGAAAAATAATGTTGTTCTGTGAAGGAGGCACTAAATAGTTGATCTGGACAAGATAAGCAGATAGGGGATTTACAATTCTGGCTACTCAGAACTGCCTCAGGCAAGCAAGGACTTTTACTTGCATTTTAAGTGATCTCACAAAGGTCTCCTTGAGTTTGGCTAGAGGTAAGGTACAGTGCATCAAAACCTACTCACCTTTCTGATCTAGTCCTGGTTCCAGTCAGAATATTTTTGAATGCTTCCAGTGATTTAAGCCCCTAATGTATTCACAGTTTGAACTAATACAGAATAGAAAAACCCCATATATCATGCTGGGAAAACACACAGTTTGCACGTGTATTTGTATTCATTTTTCAAACTATTTTTATTTCTTTTCACCCAGTGAGGGCTTAATGGTTTCACCATGAATACTTGTCCATTCACATGCAAATTTAGCATGCAGATAAAATTTGACAAAATTTTCCACAAAGAAGAGATTGTATTTTATGCTGTGACATTTCTGTTCTTTATTTCCTGGAGTGTTAGACACTTCTAAAAGATAGAATAGATAAATTTGGTATGGAAACGTTCATTTCAGAAGGAAGTGTGCCTTTTTCAAAGCGAAGGGAAAATATTACAATAACTAAGAAAATAATAATACTTAGCAATTTCAAACTGTCTTTCCTCCAAGTGGCTCAAAAGCGTATTGCAAAGAATAGCCAACACTGTATCTCTAACACCCCGCCCCCCCCCCAACAAAAAGGGATTTCTGCAGCAAAGGGAAAGCTGGTGCCCGTAAGAGCATGTACTTTGATGCAAATGTGAGAGATGGAAGCACGCAGAAGCACTGAAAGCACACAGAAGAACTGAAAAAGTGCCTAAGCATCTGAGAGCCCCTTGAACAAGATCTGCCTAAGCGAACATCTCCAGGGAAGGCACATTCCTCAGTGGGTCAGGGGCTCACGGCAGACAGTGGCATACAGTGGAGTTTTCTCGAGGTGGGGAAGCACCAAGTCCTGCTGGGAATCAGGTGGGGCCACCCTAAGCTCCTGCAAAAGGCAGCGCTGGGAACACAGAGAACAGGGCATAGAAGGGTGTGCAGGGAGGGCAGGCACCTCTTGGAAGGAGAGACATTCCAAGGCCGCCTGCACAGGTCAGGGCACACATGTCATGTAATCCTCAAGGAAGAAAGGTGGGCACTTATCAGAGAGCAAAGGCTGCGGCTCCAGCAGGGTGACCTGCACCATCTATGTTGGTGGTGGTCAGTGCCTTTGCTTGGATGGAGTGGCTGAAGGGGGTGCCTGCAGTGGAGGAGGTTGTGAGGCACTGGAACTGGATGCCCAGAGAAACTGTGGATGTGTGGCCCTGACTTCTGTGCACTCTGGCAGTGGTGCTCCCAACGACCATGGCCGGGCCGATAAGGGTGGCTGGGGCGCAACTGCTACCCAGCAGCTCCTGACTGGCCTATCCACGCTGCGTGTGAAGGACACCGTGGCCTTGGAATTGTGGTTAAAACTTTAATCAGAAAGACCCATTTTCTTAAACAGGGCTTAACTGCTGCCTGGCTTTTCAGAAGGAGCAGCACAGCGCCCGCCGGATCCATCCCCGTCTTGGCTGCTCGTGTAAACAGGTGAGGATGTGCATTGTCTGAGCTGCCAGGCATGAGATCTGGGGTTCTTCTTCTCTTACCAAACCATGGAGGGCTGCAACAGAAGGAAAGAGAGCAGAGCTGAAACCCAGCAATCTGCAGAAGCCAGCAGGCATCCCTTCCAGACCATGCCAAACCCAGCCATCCCTTTCCCTGGTCAGGAGGCGCAGGTGGGGCAAACGGATCATGTGGAACCTGCTGCTCACAAATGCAACAAATGCCCCCGAGATGTTCCCTGGAGCAGGACAGGGCATGGCAGCACGCTGCCCAGGCTCTGTCCCCTGCCCCACCAGCCCCAGCACACACAGCACTGTCCCTGCTTACCTTCCCACACCTTCAGAAGCATGTCCCTGCTGTTGTCCTTCAGGCACCGCGCAGCCAGCCCTGTGCAGAGAGCTCCATCAGACCCACTGCTGCCCAGCACGCTCCCGGCAGCACGGCCCCGCCTCTGCCGGTTTGGCTGCACCCCTTCTTCCCCTCAGCAGGGTGATCCCAGGGAAGGACAGGACCCAGGGGGAGGTGGCACTGAGCAAGGTGCCACTGAGCCCCGCTGCGAGGGCAGGGGTTGGAGGGGGAAGCACAGATCCCCTGGCTGCACAGGCCTTGCACGGGGCAGTCGATGCTCTGGCAGCCACAGGGCTGCTCCTCGTTGCCAGTGCAGCAGATGGGACTGGGGCCAGGCTGCCAAAAGAGGGACTCCAGGGGCTGCGGCTTACCGATGAACCTCACGGCTGCCAGTCTCACGCTGACCTGAGCATGCTGCAGGTAAAGCAGGCTCTGACACACGTATTCTTCAGCTCTGCTCTGCTCCTGCTCCAGCTGGAAAGAGCACAAAGGCCCAGGGCTGACACAGAGCTTCCCCAGTCACCTGGGCTGTTCTCTCCTACCAGCACTCCACACCTCCCCTTGTTCCTCAGGCCGCATGCATCTCCCAGCCAGGAGGCCTGTGGGGCTGAGGCTCAGAGACAGCCTCAGGCAGAGCAGGGTCTGGAGCTCCTGAGAGCCCCCTGTGCCACCACCAGGGCCCAAATGGGCCTCCTGCAACAACCTGAGGGTGGGGAGGTGAGAGGACCACCCTGTGTCCAGCCTGGGACTTGTCCTCACCAAGAGCTCCACAGTTCTCCATCTCTCCAGTGTCTCCACATGGGGACTTAGCCCTTTGCATTTGAGCACCTTCGCAGCTGCCCAAAGGGCTTCCTGAGAGGCCTGCAGGGGGGACAAGGATTGTTGAGATTGTGGACAGGGATAGGGACCCAAAGGCCTGGCCCCCAGCACATGCAGGGACAGTTGGGAAGCCCCTGCAGACTCCACTCTTCAGGCCTTGGTGGTCATGCCCTGCTGCTGAGCCCTGCTGGACCACGTAGGGTAGGTGTGGGAAATGTCCGTGTCAGCTGCTCCTGCCCTCCCTGATGCCCAGGCCACCCCTGTGGGCTCAGCACGCCCTCCCCCACACCACTGCTTAGGTTTGGAATCTGTACCTTGGCCACGCTCTCCATCTCATCACTCATGTGCAACACGAGTGGGACCAGGCTCCTCCGCACCTTCTTCTGCATCTGCCGCTTGTCCTTCCAATCCGCCATCTGTATTATGTCTTTGAAGAGGCAGATGGAGAGCTCTCGTATCTGGCTGCGCTCCTGGTAAGGAGGAGGACAGGAGGACTTCAGTAACAGCTGCTCCCTGAGCCAGGGCATCAGCGTGGCTGAGGGGAGGGGCCTCAGGTCTCCCAGAGCCATCAGCCTGTGAGGGAGCAGCTGGGCTGGGCTGCAGAGACCAGAAACCATCCCCACGAGAGCGCAGGGGTATGAGGAGGGGCATAGCCCTGAGCAAGCGCTGTCGCCAGGCTGTGCTGCCAGGCAGTTGTTCTTGCAAAGGGCCCATCAGTGGGACTAGGTTTCCACAGCAGCCTTACATCATCAAAGAGATGACGGAGCTGCCCGGCCAGCTCCAGAGCGATGGAGCTGGCCTGCTTCTTCAAATGACCCATCACGTTTCTGAATATGAGCAGGGCCCTCATCTTGTCGTCACTGTGGACACTGTGCAGGATGTTCGTCAAGTCTGGCAGCATGACCAGTATTTTCCTTGCCTGTAAGAAGCACAGAGTTTCTTTCTTGTGAAGTGGTGAAAGACCACCCAGGCCAAAATGCTCTGGCCGTTAAGCAGCAGCCTCCCGTCTGGGTGCATGGGAGGTGGCACAGGAATTCCCGCAGCAGCCTCCAGGCAGGCCTAGCCCGTGGGTGCATTAAGGGGATGGGGGCACATGAGGGGACTTTGAGGGCATTTGGAGCCGTCACCCCAGCTCCCGACTCCCAGCCCAGGTCAAGCCACCGCATTCCCCACTGCCCAGCCCCAGGCGGCCAGCATGGCTTCACTTGACTATGCCCTGCTCACCGAGTCAGGTGACTCTGACAGTGTGACGAGGCCATGGAGCAGCATGGAGAACAGCCTTGGAGGCAGCAGCAGCTTCCGGATTTTGTACACCCCAGCAAACGTTTTTGGTGTCACATGGCTGGAGGCCAGCAGCTGAAACAAAGATGGCAGTGAGAGACCGACCAAGCCTGCAGGGCTCTCCGCACAGTACAGCCCCTGGGTCCCACTGGGGCTCAGGGCAAGGGCACCGGGGATGGAGAGCGTGTCCTAGGGGACACTCGGCGCTTGTGGGACACACCACACGCTTGTCTGTGCTGGTTCCGCCTGTGCAAGCAGAGCACTGCCTGGGCAGACAGGGGCTTTGTGCACCCGCACCCAGACAGCGTGGCCCTGCGTGGCTGGGGCAGGGGAACCTGGTGCTGGGCTGGCCCTAAGGGGCTGTGTCCTCCTCTGTGACCATTTGGGGCAGGTGGCAGGGGAGAGGGCCGTGCCTGTTTTCCTGGAGAGGCAGGCACGGCCCTGAGCACGAGCAAGGACCGGGCTGGTTACTCACAGCCAAGAGCTGGGTGCACGCATCCACTCCCTGGGAGCTGAATCTCCATTGCACACTCAGGAAGTGGAACCTCATGTTCAGCTCCCTCAGGACGTTCTCAAAGATGAGACGCCGGGACAGCAGCACTTCCCACATGGCCATAGCAACACTGCAGACACAGAGCACTCTGTCGGCAGGGCCACCCCAGCCACCACACGGTGCCTGGGCCAGTCCTGCAGCAACCAGGCTGTCCTGAAGCCCTGGCCCTTCCCAACCCCTTGCTTGGAGTGCCCGGGTCCCAGCCTGGGCAGGCAGGAGGCGGCTGAGATAGTGTTCCCCATGGGGTAGGGAGGAACCTCGTGCAGTGGCTCGGATCTGGCTTGGCCAGCTTTGGCTACTGCAGGCCTGGCCAACCCAGCAGGGCTGGAGAGAGTGGTGGGGTTCAGGGCCCTGCTCCTCAGGGGTGCCCTGTAGTTTTCTGTGAGCCCCCAGGCCCCTCTCCCCACACGGAACAAACCCACAAGGGCTGTGGGGGTCAGTACCTGTCACATGCTGGAGACAGATGCACAAGTCTCAGGATCGCAGGCGCTGGCCACTGCTGTGCCATCTTTAGAAGCAGCATGTCCAGGGCGTGCTGCGTCGACGCTGTGTTGATGTGCTCCAGGTTGTTGTAGATGCAGGTAACGACGACTGGCACCTGGAGGGCACACGAGTGAGGGTGGTGCTGCCACCAGACTGGAGCCATTCCCTCAGCTGCCACTGAAATGGCCACCCTTCCCGTCCTACTCTGCTGGCATGAAATGGCTTCAAGGTGCCTGAGGCACCTGCGTGAGGGAAGGCCCGATGTAGGGAGGAAGAGTGCCTGAAAGGGCTCAAGGGCAGGGCAGCCACACGCTGCTTACCTCTGTCAGCCAGGAGGCAGGATCTGTCATGGCCACATCCACAATGCTGATCAGTTCCTCCTTATCGCATATGCATGAGTCTCTCATGGCCTCGATGGCCTTGAGAAGGATGACCGTCTTATCAGGGGGGTGGAGGTATTCCCCAAATGCCTGCGGGAGGAAGGAAGGCAGGGAAGACGTCTCACACCGAGTGCCCTGATAGTGCTGCTCAGCAGCTGCAGTCGCTGCGGGGTGGAGGATGAGGAGGGGCCCAAGGTGAGGGAGGAGGGCTGGGGCCGCGGGCATGGTGTGCTGGCCCTACAGAGAAGCAGGGCTTCCTGGTGGCCAGGAGAGCTGGAGCTGCTGCTGGGACACCGGAGTGCAGCCCTCTGGAGTCCCTGCTCCAGAGCAGCAGCAACCCTCTCACCAGGGACAGTGAGACCATGCCAAGCCCGCTGGTTCTGGGCCCCTTTGCTCACACCAGTCTCGTGCTGATGTTCTGGACAAGGCCCAGCAAGGGAGAAGCTCATTACCTTGACAATGCTCCTGGTGCTGCACAGGGAAAGCCAGGAGGGTTTCCTGGCTTTCCTTTTGCCGCCACGCAAAGGTGTGAAGAGATGCTTTAGGCTGTCCCCTAGTGATGTCACACCTAAACAAGAGGGGATCACAGAAGAGTCATTAGGACACAGCATTGCTTGCCATCAATGACGGCTTTGGCTATGGGGACCATGGAACAGCTGGGTTCTGAGAGGTCTTGAGAAGAGTGGGAAGGAGAGCAGCACAGAACTGGACTTGTGGTGAGCATTCAGCTTCTGCAGCAAAACGATAGCTGGGATGCTGTGGGAAAGCAGCTGTGAGGGCCAAAGGAGGTGAGGGAAGAGGGCAGGCTTTCCTGGACAACTTCCAGCAAGTACAAAAGGAATCCACTGCAATGCTCGGGGAAACAAGCAGGACTACGAGGAGATGTCTGCGTGTGGAGGGACGCAGCCCGACACAGCTTCTCTTACATTTTTCCTGCTGGATGACTCTGAAGAGGTAATGAAGAACATCCAAAGCCTCATGCTGGATCTCCCAGATCTTGCTAGTCCAGCAAACAATGAGATGTCCCAGCAGCTGTCCCAGGAGGCGGTCATGGATAGCGTCGCCGTGGGAAGAGCTGTTGTCACCTCCAAGCAAGCTCCAGACCTGGTCAAGGGAAGCAGGATGGGTAGAAGGGCTGAGAGGCAGCAGCTGCGACAAAAGCCCTGAACGGAGAGTCTGCCCCGGGGAAGGATCCTGGCAGGTCAGAGCTCTGCAGGGCCCTCCCAAAGCACCAAGTTGGGCAGCAGGGCAGGGAGAGCTGCCAGGCCTGGGCCCCCGCCATGCTCCTTGGGCAGTGCTGTCCTGCACAGGACTGGGGCCCGAGATGGCTCCTGGCAGAAAGGGCGCTGGGGAGGGAAGACCGTGGGAAAAAGAAAGAAGCCGAGACCCTTGCCCAGGGCAGAGCCGTGCTGAATGCCTCAGGCATCTCAAACTGCAGGCTGATGCCCACGGTGGGCAGGGAATGGGAGACAGCCTGGCTGGAGGGTGCCTGCCTCCTTACGTGCACTGAGGAAGAGCTGTCCATCAGATCAGCCAGCTTCCCAATCCTCACCACGGCCCTTTCGCATGCAGCTGCATTCTTAGTGTCGGTGAAAGGCAGCAGCAACTGGAAGGAGAGAAAGTGCTGCTGTGCCCTGGGAACGGGTGCCTTTGCCAGCAGCAGCAGCAGCCCTGCTCAAGTCCCGACTGGACCCATGAAGTCTTTGTGGCCCTGAAGGGAGGCAGATGCCAACCCAGGGTAGAGTCTGCTTCTTTCTGTGCCCTCCCCAAAAGCACAGGCCTGTGTCCCCTCTCCATGAAGGCTCAGCTCTTGGGCAGCACCCTGCCAGGGATTGGAGGGGCTGCAATGGGGGAATGGGCATACGGCTCTCTAGGAAGCCAGGAGTGCAGAGCGTCAGGGCTGGGCTCCCTGTGCAGGAGAGGCAGGTTCCAGTGGGTCTCTGCCCCAGTCAGACCTGGGCAGAAAAGCAGGAGGGACTGCGAGGCAGGGGAAGAAGGACAGCACCCGCAGCCACTGCTGTGGTGCCTGAGGAGAGGGGTCAATGCTTCCCACTCCTTTGGTGCGAGGAAAGCTCTGGAAAGCTCTGGGGATGGAGCTGGCCCAAAAGTGCCATGGGCTGGGCTTTGCCATGGTACAGAAGGAGGCTGCAGAGGGGAAATGACGTTGACTGCAGCCAGAGTCACGCTGCTCCTGGAAGAGCACGGTGGGCCATGTCTGGGTCCCCCAGGGGAGCTGAGCACCCTTCCTGCGGTGTGCTGTGTGCGTGGTGCTGGGGAGGACACCGTCCACTCCAGAGTGGACACTCCTGTCCCTCCAGGGTGAGCAACAGCCCCTGCGAACCCCACTCTCTGCCAGTGCCGCACCTGCAAGATACTCTTCAGCTCCCCACAGCCAGGGGAGCTGAGCACCAAGCTCTGCAGCAGGATGTCCATGGCATCCAGGGTCTGCAAGGAGGAGAAAGGTTGTGTCAGTCTTTCTGCAGTCCCTCTCTCCCTAGGGACGGGTCTAACTCCCCCCGCCAGGGGAGGACACCCCTGCCACCTCTGGTTGGCTAAGGGAGGCCTTGGGGCAGACAAGCTGCGGTGGGCAGAGGAGCCAGTCCAGAGGCACTGGACATGGCGAGGCCCAGGGGAAGGAGACGAAGGGACGAGGGAGGGAAAGCAAAGCTGACACCCTGCCGTGCCTTGGATCTCTGGCTGTGTCTCAGCACGTGGCAGCCAGGGAGCAGCTCTGAGTGCTCCTGACAGCACAACAGCACTTACATCAAAGTAGAGGGAGCTGTCTAGGCCCTGCATGTCTGTTTTAGGAGGAAGCAAGAAGACACTCCTGAAGCAGGCCTCTAAAAGGCTTTCTTTCATGCCCCCCAGTGCCATGTCCACTTGGCTGAAAAGAGAGAGAGAGGGAACTGTGAGACGTGGGCGCTGGGAGCGCTGCCTCCATGCCTTGGGCAGGTGGACACAGACCTGTGGAGCAGAGGCCCGCAAGAGGGATGGAGCCCTGGTCTGCAGGAGCCAAACCAAGGGCTGAGCACATACATACCTCATATCGGCGAGGGCAAGCATGGCTTCCTGCCGCACGGCTGTGCGCAGGTGGTCCATGGGCTCCTCTTCCACCAGTGCCTGCAGAACACAACCGGGATGGGACCTGATGGCCACCAGCACCAGGCTCTGCCCCCAGCCCAGCACTGGCCCCCGGCATGGCCCTGCTGCAGGGCTGCTCAGCCACACGCACATCCCCTCAGGCAGCTCAGTGTCTGTCCGTGCACGTTGGTCCCCGCCCTCCCCCTGCATGGGCCCTGTGTGTCCTCACAGTGTGCTGGCGCCTGGCAACTTGCCCCCTTCCCCAGAGCAGCCGGGTGTGCCCTCACCTCGATGTTCTTTGCCACCTGAAATTGGTGATAGAACTCCTTCAGTTCCTGTGAGAAGCCCTCATCTCTGGCAGCCTCGCTCAGGGTGGAGATGGTCTGCAGGAACTGGATCTTCTGAGCCTCCTCCTGGGCAGCGGGGAGCAGAGACACAAACGGGCAGTGTGAGAAGGGGCCAGCAAGACTGGAACAGTGGAGCTGCAGTGCTGTGCAGGAACCCAGGGGAGCAGCCCCTCCCAGCCAGCAGCCCTGGCAGTGGAGCCGGTGGCCCCGTCAGGAATCGCAGACACTGCTACCCTGGAAATGGCTGCAGTTACCTTCACTGAGCTCTCCAGAAAAGTCTGGATGAACTGCATGCACGCAGCGTGTTCCTCCATCATCCTCTTCAGACAAAGGTATAGGGTGGGGAATGAAGAATGTTCCAAGAAGTGTCTCGGCACCGTGGGGCTGCTGGGGCAACAGGGAGCAATGTGGGCTGCGCTCAGGGGTCTGCACCAGTCTTGTGCTCCTGCTCTGTCCCGTCACCGTCCTGCCGGACACTGCCACGAGGGGTATGAGCCGTTGCCTTTTATACAGTGGCCGGGGGGGTCACCAAGGGCGCGTCACAAAGGGCACCATGGTGGGTCAGAAAGGGAACGTCACCGAGGGCACCATGGTAGGTCATAAAGGACAGGTAACTAAGAGCACCATGGTAGGTCATAAAGGATGCGTCACTAAGAGCACCATGATGGGTCAGAGAGGGCATGTCACTGAGGGCGCCATGGTGGGTCACGAGGGACATGTCACAAAGGGCTGGTCACAGAGGGCACCATGGTAGCCCACCACTCAGACTATAAGGGACAGGGTATTCCTGTGAGGGGCACAAGGCCTGTTCTCCCCTGGTCACTTGAGTCCCCTTGGGGTGCCCTGAGCCCCATGTTTTGCTCACGTCATATGGGGTCTTGTTACGGCAAGGTAACTGGCATGTGTCATGATGTTCACAGCCAGACTAGTCAAGAGGTGTCAAAAAGACCTTGAGTAGAACTGCACGTGCACGATTCAGTTTAACGTGTGTTAAACTGAAAGAGAAAAAATTCTAAGGCAATTTTTTTCACTTGCTTTTTCTGTTTTTCAGTTACAAAAAAGCAATGATTAGGCTGCATTTTGTAGGAAGAAAATAACTACCAAAAGCTTCAACTAGATTTTGAAAATATTCTGTTTCTCTGGATGATAACCAGCAAGTTTTCTGCAGCAATGAGCTTTGCCATTTAGACTCAAGGAAAAATGTTGCTTGATACTAAGCTTTTCTGGACTAGCAGGTGTCAATTCAGTGTGATTTTTGAAAGCATAAGGAGTCTTTTTTGAAAGTGTTCTATGAGCCTGTCCTCCCAACATGGTATTCCCTCATCGCTGGTACCCTGACAATTTTTATCAGGCAGATGTTTCTTTGGGAAAAATCCAAGTTTTTTTTAATAATGTTATGTTTCAGAGAGTATGTTCTGGCACCTTTCCTAGCCCTGGGGAGGAACAGCTTAATACTGGTTGATAGGCGAGTTTTGACGGGATCCTGTGATTTCAGATTTCCTGAAGCAGTGACCTTAGGTGGCATGGAAGTGCCTCAAAAAGCGACAAGCAGGGATTCCTGCTTGTACCTATCTCTCCTGGAAAGCCCCAGTTATAATCATCGCTGCTCTGCCACAAAGCTGCTTGATCTTTGGGAAATCACTTTAAGCCTGTATGTGCTGCTAGGACCTGTCAGCCCATTGGAGGTCATTCGTCCCTGCTTCACAGAGCTGCATATTAAAGTCTAGGAGATACGTAGACATCATAACAGTATCCAAGGAAAACCAACTGAATGACTGGGTCAACTGCTGAGGTGAGGGTCAGCTGCTGAGGTGGGGTCAATTGCTGAGGTGAGTAGCCGGAGAGAGGACGCCTTCAACACCTGAGCTGGGGGAAGCTCAGCGTCCAGGAGCCTCAACTCAGAGCAGCAACAGCCACCGAGGAAGCCTCAAGTCCTAGGCAGGACTTGCCCAGGATCCGGCAGCTCAGCTGACGCGAGCAGGGACTCACAGGGGGCGGTACCAGGAGGAGCGGCACCAGCCCCGGCTGGGGAAAAACCTGCCCCAGGAGCGCGAGCGATCAGGGCGGGTGGAGGCAGTCAGCGGGGGCAGGCGAGGGGGATCCTGAGCGCTTGCCTCAATGACCAGGGCCCGGTCTGGGAGCTCTGCTCTGACTGCCCCGGCGGTGGCCAGCGTTGGCACCCAGGCAGAGCCGGTGAGAGGGGAGGCTGCAGTGCAGAGCTCGGAGTGCAGAGAGTGCCTGCACTGGTCTCGTGAGGGGAGGGTGTACAATGGGCAGGGCTGCCCCCGGTGCTCCCTGGTGGAGGTCCTCCTGAAGCAGGTGGCTGAGCTGCGGGGTGCTAGCAATAAACTTAAAGATGTCAGGGAAGCTGAGAGGAAGCAGGACTGCTTGCTCCTGGCCCAAACTGTGCAGGGGCCTCAAGCGTCCCCTATAGTTCATGGAGGAAACAAGGAGGCCATTAACCCAGGAAGCTGGGAAATAGTAACAAACAAAAAACCAAAAACGAACAAAGAAAAAAAAAACAAACAGAAAACCAAACAAATAAAAACAAAACACACCCCACACCCCCACCCCCACCCCCCACCCCCCCCCCAAAAAAAAATAAAAATCCACAACATAAAAAGGAGGAAGAGGATGCTTCAAAGCACGGGGCTTCCTCCTAAATCTGTTGTCCCCACCCAGAACCGCTTTGCTGTCCTGCAGGGGGCTGATGAGGAAACGCACTCGCATCACAAACAATCGGCTGGGGCACTGCTAAAGATCACTACTGGTGCTGCCAGGAAAAAGCAGCGAGTCGTAGTAGTAGGGGACTCTACTCTGAAAGGCACAGAGGCACCCATCTGTCAGCCTGACCGAGTCTCAAGAGAGGTGTGTTGCCTACCAGGGGCACGGATCAGGGATGTTGCAGAGAGGCTGCCTGCTCTAGTAAGTCCCACTGACTATTACCCACTTCTAGTGATCCATGTGGGTGCTAGGGGTATAGATAGCAGTAGCCTGGAGAACATGAAGAAGGACTACAGAGCCCTAGGAGAGGTGGTTAGGGGCTCTGGAGCTCATACAGTCTTCTCATCAATTCTCCAGGATACAGGGGAGGACCCCAGAAAGGCTAGAAGGATTGGCCAGGTTAATAAATGGTTAGAAGGGTGGTGCCATAGTCAGGGGTTTGGGTATCTTGAACATGGGAGCCAAGTTAGTAGGCCAGGTCTCCTGGGGTCTGGTGGAGCTGGTCTGACAAAGGGAAGAGCGGTTTTGGTAGGAGGCTTGCCAGACTGGTCAAGGATGCTTTAAACTAGATGTGTTGAGGGAGGGGGGCATCATTCCATCCCAACCTACCCAGTCAGCTGCCAGCACCTGTAATAAATGCTTGGAGCAATGTAGAGATATTCCAGCCGCTTCAGCCAACTCTTCATTAGGGACTGTAGTGATAGGACAAGGAGTAATGGGTTCAAACAGGGGAAGTTAAGGTTGGATATAAGGAGGAAGTTCTTTACTGTGAGGGTGGTGAGGCACTGGAATGGGTTGCCCAGGGAAGCTGTGAATGCTCCATCCCTGGCGGTGTTCAAGGCCCGGTTGGACAGAGCCTTGGGGTGACGTGGTTTAGTGTGAAGTATCCCTGCTCATGACAGAGGGGCTGGAACTTGATGCTCTTAAAGTCATTTCCAACTCTAACTATTCTATGATTCTAAAATCCCATTGGCCTTATGCAGAGTAAGTGACAGGAACAGATAGTGGTGTTCAGAAAAACACAAGCTGTGAAATGGCAGGTCTAGGGAAAATCTCAGAAAGAATAACGAGCAACCAACGCTTGGTGGCTCTGAGCTCTCAGAGCAAGAGCAGGCATAGAGCCAACTACAGCAAAGTTCCGTCCAGGCTTAGAGACCAGGAACTGTACCTCCATGGAGCTCACCGGCGTAGGGGTAAAGCATGTGTGCGGAAGGCCCAGGTGTCAGGCTCTTCAGGGCGGATGGAGCTTATTGGTGCAGGGCACTCAGGTCCCAGAAAACTTTTAAGACATCCCTTGACACTTGGTTTTCATTCTTTGTGTGCAAGGGCTGCAGTCTATGTTCTCAGTGTGATGAGACAGACCTTGGTGGAGCTGGGAAGTCTTAAGAGTTATTTTTCACCAAGGAGTAACAGAAAGCAGCTCTATTCATGAGCTCTCTGCTGTGTAACCAGTTGCTCAGAACAGGATAGATCTCTACTGAAAACCCAGCTGCTGAGGTGTGAATTGCATGGGACTGAGAAAATACATCTGAGAGAAGGAGCAACGAGACAAATAATGTTAACATGTTTCAAGAAAGGGTCCCAAGTAAGAAGCTTATGGACGTGAACAAAGGAGTCATCTTCCAGTACTTGACTTCTTCCATCCCAAGGAACCAGAAAGGCATACATACACAATAGTACGTTTGAAACAGAACTTGCTTTCTGCTGCTGACAGGCGAAACATGTAAAGAACCATTCCTTGTCTCACAATATGAGTAAAATAAAGGTTTGCTGTATTTAGCACCTGCATATCTTTGACTGATAAGTAGACTGACGTCCGCAGTCTTGCAGACCTGCCCTTAGCTATTTTACTGGAAAGTTCTGAGCACACATTTTCCAGAAAATAGGCATCTTCAAGATATCTTAAACTGGACACCCAGAATCCTTGAATAACCATAGGTTCCAGTGGATATTTTCAATGCTGCAGAGCTGAGAATAACAGTCTCCAATGGGCTGTGGTTTCTTGTTCATTATCTCATAGGTGTATTGCTTCCCATAGGAAACACAAGTGTCAGAAGTGCATGTAAGTGTCTAATCTCTCAGAGCACAGCATCAGGCGCGGGGCAAGAGCAGACAAGCCCTTTGCATTATTTACACAGCAGAGGCAGCCAGAAAAGTCAGCTTGATAGTTTATACTGAAGTTCAAGTTAATTCCAAGGTTGGATTTTGAATGCCCCTTAAGGAAAGTAGGAGATTTTAATAATATGCAAGTATTAATTAGAAAATCTTAACATGAACGCCAACAGTGATTGGCATATGTTCCTTTGTAAGATCAGATGGCGTATTAATATAGGTAGTTAAAACCTTTAGTTGCAAAAAGACCACAGTGAATCTCATTTTCATACAACCGGCAGTATGTTTTAGAGGATAATTACACATTTCTTACCTTTTGCAGATGATGAGGATGACTGTCTCTAAACTTTTTATATAACAGCAACTAAAATGTGATAATTCTTGTCCACCTGAGCTCCTTACATCTTCCCACTGCTACAAATACTTTTGCAACAGGAGAGCTGACCTAAAGCTTTCAGCAGATTTAACAGATTTTGTTTAAAGCTCAGAATAAGATGAGACTGATACCATTCTGTTAAACAAGTTATAGTGATGATATTTCAATACAATGACACAGTCACTTCTGCATCACAACTATGGTGTGACAACAGGGCTACAACTTAAAGGGGGATAGATACATCACAGTGTGAAGATCTGAGGTAAGAAAAATAATGCTTTTCTGTGAAAGAGGCACTAAATAGTTGATCTGGACAAGATA